ACAACCAATAAGTTTGATGTGTCACATGGCCCTCTTCCTATTGAAAAAACAAAAGTTGTATCCAAGATGGCCGACTTCTAAATGGCCACCATGGTCACCACCCATCTTGAGGAGTTTGCCCCCTCACATATACTAATTTTCCACAAACGGGACTTTAATGTCACCAACCATTCCCATTTTATTACGGTGTATATAAATGGCCCACCCTGTATCTATGTTGTGAGCACACATTGTAAATGACCTCATTCATATTTTGTAAAGTGTTTTGTAAATTTGCGAGTGGCTATTATTTTGTTGGAGCTTGGACCCAGCTCATGCTTTTATTTTGAAAGTTACAGAGCGACAAGGTGCCATAAATCAAGTGGCGTAAACCGTACAGTAGAAACGTGAATTTTAATGCACAGAGAGAAGGTGTGCTCAATGGTTAATGAACGGGAATGGGGGAAACACGGCTATTAAGGTGCAATCCTGAGTTGAAAGTAGTTCCTTCACACCTGGTTGATGAGGGAACAAAGTGTGTAACAAAGTTTGTCCTGTAAATATGTGCTTTGCTATATTACGGAGCATATAGAGGGTTTTCACCTACATCACATTCTGGGTGGTAACCTGCATGTGCGGCCATATTGGAGGCACTCGGAGGTAAACACTGCAATGGGTCAATGTCCGAAACCACAGAAAAGCTCCTCAAAATGCGTTATAGATGCAAAGGCATACAGGGAAGGACTTGGTCCACAGGTAAGGGCACGATATTTGGAAAAGTTAAGTTTTATTGGTGGTGCAGATCCAAACGAGTTGGCTCCTTCATCTTGGATCAATGACGAGCGGAGAGTCTTCCGACTATTGCGTATCTTGATATCAACTGCCTGGTTTTCTTGCCCAGAAGACAGCAGACCTTAAATCTTATAAAAGTTTGGAGGCCTATAACCAGATGGTGTGTGGATGGGTGAGGGAGATGCAGTATCAAGTCATCAGCGGCAGATGTATTGTGAATGTCAAAGTAAGTAATGCAATAACATCTTTAATCAGCCAAACCTTAACTGTATGATATCATCCCTTACCAAAAAGTAGCATACTTCGAGTATATTTTATTAAATATGCTTAACTATAGAAAAGAAATGAGTGGAACAAATTCGGATGTTGTCCAGATTTTTGCCTGATCCTGGTTTAGCTTCGCTAATCACAACCGCCTCTTTTCCTCTGATAACTTTCGGCATTATTCTCCATGATTTGTAATAACTATTTGTTTATTTGTAATAACTTTTGGCTGTCTATAAAACTGCAAATGTTTTTCACGGTCTAACCGATTGGTACAGCCAAAAACACGGCAATAATTCACCATTTCCTTTAGTTCGACGTTTGGAATCTGTTTGAGTACGCGCGCTTTGTTTACCTCCAGTATCTCCAATATGGCGACTTCCGGTTTTACTGTTATGTGTTATGTAAGTTCAAGATAATTAATTTGTGATTAATGAATAAGGCAAAGGTGTGTTAAAGGTAACACACTGATTTACTAATGGTCTTATGGGGTGTTCACGTACACAGCTGTTTAATAAAAGTATTGTGAACCATCAGTTTGAGAGACCACCTTTTCAACCGGGGATGCTACACATGTATCTAAACAGCATCTCCTAAAAATAATCATTGAAATAATAAACATTTGACTAAACTTTTAGTATATGCAAAACATCCATTACTTTTAAATAACCCTGAAGAATCAATGTCATTTTGTACTGTTCCCCCCAGTTTGTGACTTAAAAGCAGCTCTTTATGTGCACTGACCTTAATGTGAGTATATAAATTATCAACTACTCTTAAATAACACAGTAAAGTCATGTGTCCACTGTGCAGCTGTGTTGATATAATGAGTGAATGATTTGATCTTTTCACTGCCTGCTGTGTTTCCT